GACTATAATTTACAAAGCAAATTTACAAGGGCAAAGTCACAGCTCGGCCAAAATTCTTGGGCAGGCAATTCCGTTGGTGTGATATAATGTAGTGCGGTTTGACCTTTAGATTAGTAGAACAGCCAAGCCTCACGCTACTAGGTGTGTTCAGTGGTGAATTTACCATAGCATAGCATATCCAGGCCTGGGGTGGCCAGATATTAGGGGCGGCTAATAATAAAATAAAATATTGTGTATCAAAACTGAGAGATGAAATAGTAATTGTATCTGCATTTGTTTATCTTATAATAATAATCATATTTATTGTAGATACTTAAAGAGGACACATTACAAAGAGAAACATCGAAACACAGTACACAGACGACTTATTGCCTTGCAACAATTTCTTACAGTAATCGTGGTACCTATAGCAAAATAAATATGTAATAAAATAAAGTGTAAAAACAGATAAACTATATTTTTATGTGTTTTAAAAACGTTGTCAAGAAAGTAAATTCTTATGCAGTGCCTAAATAATGAGAGCCAAAAAGGGGCGGTACTATGGTCTAGGGCAGCCAAGTCTGTACTTCCACCTCTGGGTGTGTCATTGTATTCATCCCCAAGGAAAGGGTAAACCTTAAGGGTTTTGGTGAGTATAGGGCTCTGGTGACAGAATAGAGTTGCTTCAAGCATTTCCTCGACGAAAGAAAAAAGTGTCATTGTTTTAAGTGTAGGTAACATAACATATAACAGTAAAATTATAGATACATTCTAGTCAAGTTGCATTCTATTCATGAAGCTGATCTAAATTTGTAATCGTGCTCTCAATAAACAAAGAATCAGAGTCCGTGTTCCTTAGACTTGAACCAATTAACTGGTATTAGTTTATCAACTCGGCTGAGGCGGTCTACGTCTCTGGCAAAGGAGACTTCAATAAAACAGTATTGTATTAACAACATTTCACGATATTATCTGTTTCATGGAATAATTATTTACTTCCTCTATGAGCCAAATGGTTGTTTTAGTAGATCATGAAGTGACGTATTCAGATTCTAAATTGGAAAACGCATATTCAAAAATTAAGTTGAAGTTTTTCATATGTGTTTTTGTGCAATAAGATTTTGGTGATTTGCAGGTGATGCTTTTTTAACTACGTAAGTTTTGTTATTTTTAAAATACTAATATTTGCTTACTTGTTTGGAAAACGATAAATAAATATTTATTTTGTTAAGTTAACAAATAAGACGTTATGTACTGTTTCAGACTACCTTTTATCCTATTTTCATCGTATATTCCAATTTATTCGTTAATAGTATTGATGAATTATTATATTTTTTGTGCAGTGTACTTCAAGACAGATAGAGAGTCTTTTATTTAGATTTAAATACAGCCCTGTGTGCTGTTATACTTTGAAGCGCGGATATTAAAATTCTAGTAGAATCTTGTAAGCGTCCTCCGTTTTACTTTATATGATAGGAATTTTATAGTTGTATATAAAAAGCTTTTAACTTTCTTAAGAAGCAATGAACATGACAAAATAATAAGGACCCTGGAATTGTTCACGAACTTTACAGTAAGTTTGATAATATTATTATTCTAAGTAGCTCGGTGACATAGTGGATAAAAATTTAATGAAAAACTCTCGATGTCATAAAAATAATAATATTAATAATCGCAATATTTTTTTTTAGTCAGTACATGCATCATATTACAGTGATTCATATACAAGTCTGCAAAATAGTTTCAGAACTACTGTAAAAGCGCTGCACGATTCCCTTGGTTATAAAGGAACTCACATTTTTATTATGTTTAACTAAAAAGAAATTAACGACATATTAAAGGTAACTATTATTATTAACAACAGCTTATTTGTAAATAATTTTGTTTCTATAAAACTTATTGAAAGTTAGTGATTTTGAATATAAGCGGCCTTTTATGGGACTCAATTAAATGTGAAGATTTTACTTCTGAATTTTTGTGTTAAAAATATTACATTACATTAGGAGTACCTAATTTACTAATGTCGCTATAAAAGTTGATCGCCCACTCATCAAAAACACTGAGGTCAGTAAGCAAATGCATTATTTATGATCCGTTCTAAATCCGTTTTGAAGTACAAACATTCACTGTCTTATTAAACGAGGGCTTAACTTACTACTTGGTTTAAACCATTCAAATTTTGACGACCTCAACTTGCTATCTCTAAGGTCCCGGGTTCGAACCCGTTCGGATCAATTTAGAAAAAGAACCTTTCGATATCGTCTCTGAGCCATGTGTGTATTTTTTTTATAAATATTCATAAAGCTTATAGAGATCGAGATCCTATAAAAATTTCCAAAGTCAGGGCACAGACCTTACTGATTGATAGAATCGAGTGGAATATGGAGTTCTTTCCCTTTTGAGGTAGGTACAGAACTCTAAAAAGAAATAAACTAAAAAAAACTCTAAGCTACTATAACAGACAACTTAAGAATAATATATATTTCATTGATTTCGATCGAAATGATAACATATAATGCTAAGCAGGCTTTCTATAATTAAATAAAAATCTTCCAATAATGTACACGATTTAAAACCAACCAAATATATTCACTATCTTACAAACACAATGCAATAAAATTTATTTATATACATTTTCCAATTTTTCAATCTTAAAAAATATAATATAGAAACAAATTCAGAACATTATTCTAATTGAGAGTATATATCAATTTATCTATATTCTTTTTTATTACTCTTTATAATTGCCAGAGATTTTCAAAAATCTATGATGATGAACTCTTTACGTGAATGTGAAATGTCTATGTTTATGTTAGTAGTGAATATATATAAATAAATAAATATGTAATGTTGTATGTTCCCCACAATTTAAACAAAATAATAAGAATAATAGCTTTTCGCCAGCGGTTTCGCCCACGTGGTCCTTGAGGAACTGTTTAGTGGGATAAAAAGTAGCGCATATGTTAATCCAGGCTTAGAATTTACATAAAAATTTAATAAATGATTCATATCATGACAAGTATATAATTATAATAAATTGCATAGTCAATGGTTATTAAGGTAACGTTTTAATTCCCTGTATAAATTTCACCTTTCATTTTATCACTTTACTTGCTGTTTTTCGGGATAAAATACTATAGCCTCTGTCCATCGCATATGATCAAGTAGCTTCCGCTAGGTGAAAGATTGTTTGAAATCCGTCCAGTAGTTTCGGAGTCTATTCGATGCAAATAAACAAACAAACAATATAATTTTTCCTGTTTGTAATATTAAATTTCGACATTTTCAGAAATTTCAATTAGAGTGAGCCAGATACTAGAAATGCGAAAGCACGTGCTTAGAAATGCCCAATGACTTTGCTCTTATCGACATTTAGCAAAAAGAATTAAAAATTAAGCTTAAACAACTTGATCATTATTTTTTTATAATATTACGATCGTATGTCTATTGAAATCAACACAGATTTTAAACTTATTAGTTTAATAGTAGACACAGACGCGGGACCAGTCTAGGCAACTCTAATGACCTACATAGGTCGCTTATTACGTAATTTTATTGGCCTTTCAAAGTCGAATTGATAATTTTCCCACTACCACAATTTATTTAATAACAAGTCATACCACATTTTTGGTTTCATTTACGGATTCAATTAGAGTAGATAGATAATAATTTTTCGAATAATAAATGCTGATTTGAATACCTCATTGATTTTAACGTCTTCCTAATAAAATTTAAAAAAAAAGACATCCTGTTTACGGAAAAAAATAACAATGAAAAAATTTATGAAATAAAACAAACCAATATTTTCTGTATTGAACTATTGTAGGGCCTATGATAAACTGTTATTGTTATTTGTCAAACGTGGTCTTCCGTCATATTTCTTTATTGTTCCTTAAAAAGTTGGGAAATCGAATGTAAACAAAGTCGATTGATTGGTTCGTGCGCCGGTTTCATGGCGTCGCTTAACTAAACAGTCACACGTTTGAGTGTTGAGATACTCCCTGAAAACGAAGGCTTTAGCTACTCGTCATAAAATTTGAGCAATGTATGTGTTATTTCTGTGTGTTATTTATTTAGTAATTCTATGTCTAGCTTATAAGAAACAGCTAAACACCTGAATATCGTAATGAACCAGATAAAATTGACGTCTGCGATTAAAGCGTCCACCGCTATTAATCTTACGTCTGATCTGGCCATCTACAGCTCCGACAATGCATCTAGAGGATCTTAACGTCGCATTACACTCGAAGTGTGTCCGCGTGATATATACATGGAATCCAAATGGTCTAACGCATCAGATGATTTCTCATTTTTATATTTGATCAACTTTGCATTCATAATGCTATACCCACTGAAAATATTCTTAACCAAAAATGCCTAAAAATCCACCTTTGCAACCCGGACGACTGCTTTAACAACCGAGCTACCCAGGAACAAACAGGACAGGCGAATTTTTCTAGCACTTGTTACTTTTTCGCTTCTACAGAGCGTATTTTCGTCAATGTTCAGTCAATCCACCTAAACAGTCAAAAGAAATATTTTTACAAATATTATACTTTCGGTAAAGATGAAAATTTGTTCTAATTATTATAAGTATTTGATCAGTTTCGCATTCACAATGCTGCACTGAAAAATATTCTTAATGAAAAATGCTTGAAAATCCACTTCGTCCCTGGAGCTCTGAGATGGGAATCGAACCCATGATTCACATGCGGCATCGGTGACGCCAACATCGACCATCATAAAGATAACCAGAAGGTGACACTGCCTTTGCTGCACCGTTAATCTAGCAGACATTAGAACCCAAATTAGTTCGTGGTACGGGACCCCGAAATAGTTTTCTAATTTGGTGGCGGGATATATGAAATGGTACCGAAACCGAAACTTGAACAATAATATTTTATAATGCGTCTGAGATGTGAATCGAACCCATAATCTTTCGCAATCCGGGCGACTTTTTCTAATCTATAACTGAAAAAAAATTTTGGGAGTTAATATGGCATGATTTATTTCTTATAAACATGTCTGATTTGAAACTTATGACTTGGACTATATTCTACAAGGCGCCACACATCAGCTTACCAGCGACTGTCTTCTCAACCGGTGCCGCTGACAAGCTAAAGGGTATCGCGTCAACGGATTAAGATGCCACCAGATGAAATACGGTTAAACGCAATTTTCATCCAAATATTTCTAATTTTTTATGAAAATTGCCGCAGCATATTATTGTACTGCTATTTGTAAAATTATGCTATGTTTAATATTATTGATCGTTCATTATGCCTCATTATGTAAAATATGTATTTACATATTAGTTCTGATGATATAATGTGATATATTTGCTGATTATAAAATCACTTTTATAAAAAAATGTACTAAAAGCCACCTATCTTCTACATACTTCTTTAATTCATATGCATAGTATATATTATAGTAATTAAGAGGTCAATTATGGTAAGCGTTTTTGTGAAGTAAGAAAACATAAGCGTATTTTTAAATAAAAAAGGTTTTACCAATTTTGTCTAGTGTAGCCTTTTAATATTATCCTACATTTAAATAGGGCTTAATGTAATATGAAACTTGAAATTCCGGAGAAAATTAATCATTTCACATAACTGCGCAAGTAATATAGGAGTGGGTAATTATTATAATAAGTTTACAGCTATGCTAGATATTACAGACAAGTGGAATTAGAGTCTGGCTTATGGTCAATGTGCGTAGAGATACGATAAACTCTTGTTGACACCGCTAAGTATTGTAATCTTGAAACTGGTAGTGTGTTACTTTTGCAAAGAGATGAATAAAAACTAATCTGATACAGTATTGCGACATAAAATTTGCATTGAGGATTATATCTTACTTTTGGTTGTGAATGTTAAGTACCTTTTTAAAGGTCGGTCATTAGATTAGTGACCAAATATTTCATGTCTTCAATTATTCCATGCTTTGGCACATTAAACGGTTGGTTCCGGCTGCATCCGCAGTCCTTAGCATTTAATCCGCACTGGGCTCGCATGTTGATTTGGACGTAATCCATATGGTGACGGGCCATTATATTTTTTTGTGCGCGTGGAACTCTCTATCCGCACAAACCCCTCCGAAGACTAGTCAAAACGCGGATGGCATATCCACTAACTGCCCTCCGTGTACCCTCTCCTTTGGGGGAAGGGTCTCAGATCCAGCAGGCAGAGCTCCACACCCAGCCCCCGTTCAAATGGAAGGCCACTCTTGGTAAGGGGGAGACTTGCGTACTTCGGAGCCTAATTCGAGTCAGTCGGGGACGCGCAGCGGCTAGGTGGTTGTTCATTACCTGGTCTGCCCCTTTAGATGAGAGAGATGCATTATTGAGCAATCTCTCCCCATTCTACCATCTACTGCGGCATCTGTGACGCCAACATTGACCATCATAAAGATAACCAGAAGGTGACACTGCCTTTGCCGCACCGTTAATCTAGCAGACATTAGAACCCAAATTAGTTCGTGGTTCGGGACCCCGAAATAGTTTTCTAATTTGGTGGCGGGGTATATGAAATGGTACCGAAACCAAAACTTGAACAATAATATTTTACAATGCGTCAAGCACTGTAATATATTATTGTTAGAAATGTCATTCACAGATATCGAAAATAGTATTGGTCCTATATTCGAAACCTGAGGCACCCCAGACCGAACAAAGTACAAACGAGACATGAAACCGTTCACTGCTACCAATTGCGTTCTCCTTTCCAGATATGATTCAACCCAAACAAGAAGTGACCCGTGAATATCACATGATTCAATTTTTTATAAGTACGCTATGGTTTACCCTGTCGAAGGCACATGAAAAATCTGTGCATACTACGTCAATCTGCAATCCCCTGGACATGTACCAAATTAACTTAGTCTCCGTAGTCTTTACGAAATCTGTGTTGAAAATCGCTCAAGATAGCTTCAATATGACGCATAAATTAATTGGTCTGTCTTTTGACATTTTTCTACGATTGTCATTTGTTTTAGCCTTTCAAATTTATACTATCTTTATTCTTTTCAATATTTTATATTTTTTGTAATTCACATTAGATATATTATGTACCAGTGTAAAGAAGTGGTCTTTAAGTTTGCAAGTAATTTACTTGATTAATAAATAAATCTAAATTCAACAATCGCAACATCTGCTGAATATATCGATGTCATTATATCTTTGATGTCTGGACAAATGGATACTGTTTGTTCCGTATTCTGACTAGAGATGTACCAGATCTGTTCGCGAATACATGCTGTTGGTGTCTAGATCCGTGAATCCGAATACGGAGATCAACTTTCTCACATTTTTTACTTAGTCGTTGTCAGTGTGCCTTAATCATAAATCTAATAAACTGTCGTTTAAACTATCTTCAACAGTTCTTCGTTAGAACAGTTCTGTTCAGTTCTATCACTTTGACACATAATTTTGATATATCAATCCGGTCTACCGTTATGCGGTGGAAAAGGGCTAGTCATTTGTGGAACTATTTATATAAACTATTGTTTAGACAATATAATAGAACCAAATAGTTTATTTTAAATAAAATAAAATATATTTAGAAGGATATTAATATTACTTAATCACCTATAGGTATTTATAAAAAATCTGTTGACGATCCCCCTTAAAAATAACGGAGAGAGATGTATTTTTTCTGTCACGGATATTCGCGGATACAGATATGAATATCCGGCACATCACTAATTCTTACATACAACGATTAATAGGCGTAGATACTTTATTAGCAAGGAACTTATTGCAAATTTAATTGTTACCTGTACTATATTTGATGCGGACAGTTGCGTAGGGCGTGCCCTCTGAGATCGCTTACGACAGCGCACGCGCTGTTCTATGGTTATCTGTATAGGGTTGCCATTTTCCAAAGGACTATTCTACCAAAACAAGTCGATGTTAAGTGCAAATCCGTTTAATCCTGAATGAACATACTAAACCTGAAAATACTAAATCTTTGCCGGTAACTCATTGTGGTGTATGTAAGCATATTATACGAAAAAACATATATTTCGGAAATTTTTCAAGTTTTTTACCTTAGAGCTCCGTTACGCACATTCAAAGAGCCACCAGCAAAAACTGCACGAAACAAAGCCAGATACTCATTTGAAACAACATACGTACCGCAAAACCCAGACTCCAGACAATATAGAAAAGTCCATTTTCTACGTTAACCCGATCAGGAAATACCTTGAAACCGGTGTACGAACCACTCAGCTACGGAGGTTATATATTACATATTTTCCTATTTTATTCCAACTCCAACCCACTGACTAATTAGGATATAATTTTAAGCGGATACATCATATTTTAAGCTCATTAGAACTTTCAGATTAGATTTTGTTACTGGAGGTGAGGCAGTCAAAGTATGCAGGTATAATATATTAAAATTATTTTGATTGCTTACAGTACATCTTTCAAACACCCTGGATGTCCTTCAATCACAAGTTTGTCTTTTAATCTAAAATTGTTGTGACCGCAATCTGTGTTGAGGGCGAAGAGTGATACCTACAAAAGAAGTCTGTGATTTAGTCCTTAAAAAAAATCTATGCATGGAAGCAACCCTAAGTCCACCTTTAGGGCATTACTAACTAAGGTATCCACAAAGATAGGAATAACTGTGAATGATTTACAGTGTGTTCGAGCCCAAAGGCAGAGATTTCATTGAACTAGTAGACTTTCAAATTAATGACTACTTGTATTTATCTTCACAATGGAGCAAGACTAATACTCCTTAGATTCATGTTATTTTGATACTGTTTGTCTGTTTAAATTGTGAGGAAGGAATTTAGCCAGACAAATGAAATCTTCGTAGTTATTATTAATCTAAGTCTGTTTAAATTTTTGTGCACTGATTCTGAAGTAAGAGATAATTTTAGAGTTTAACAGCAAGTTAAATATATAGAAAATAATAAGTGATATTGATGTTACAAAACGGGAAAGGCGTGTCAGACTCGCGCACGAAGGGTTCCGTACGATTTTATCTATGAGAAACGAAACAAAACGGGTTTGTTTTAAAGGAGCTCACCTTAAATATTTATTCTGTTTTTAGCTTTTGCTGTTCTAACAACAACAGAAATACATCGTCTGTAAAATTTTCACGGTTTATGACATACAGCTTGGTGACAGACGGAAAAACCTACAGGTAGATAGACAGAGAGACGGAAGGACAGAGGAGATATAGTAATAGGGTTACCGATTTTACTCTTTGAATACGGAATCCTAAAAATAAAAAAGTCAAAAGAAAATAAGGAAGCGCTTATTTTTAAGAAATGGACAATAACCCATAGTATTATGTGATTTAAAAATTATCTTATACACTCTCCTTTATGATTTTGTTAAGAAATAGTTATTCAATTAATAAATATTAGATAAAGTCACAGACATTGTTTAGATTCCATAATGAGTAGCCAAAGCCCTCGTATTGTGGAGTATCTAAGGCAACGAAAGTACAACAATACGCAGATTTGAGACAATATAAAAAATATCATTTTCTACTTTGACCCGAGCGGAAATCGAACTCATACAAACCACTCGCCTACCGAGGTTTATTAGTTCATTTATAGTTTTTTTTTTACTTTGATGTTTTCGTGTTAATAAAATAATAAAAAAAATTGTAATTAGCGTGAAATGCTATGGCATTAAAAGAGGACATAAATTCTACATAATCATTTTGATAGTGTATAAACAAACAGTTTTATTATCATTTCTGCTTGTAATTTAACAAGTTTATATTCAAAATGAAATGGTTCTTTTATATCCTCATTTTTCATTGTAAGTAAATTATTGAAAAAAATTGACTATTTACGTGATTCATAATTTGCTGTTTCTTTTACCTATTTGATTTATTTGGGTATATTTGATTATATATTACACATATATTTGAAAGATTGACACAGTTTACCAATCTTTTATTCGATTTTAGTCTCTTTACATTTCCTTCTACATTCACGCCATAACCCTTCTTGTTACATGTAAATAATTTAATAATTCATAGTCGTGGTACTTTTTCATATTTTCAGGTGCTTATTCTTTGAATGTAAACAATTTTGACATAGAATTAGAAGGTACAATACGATTTGCGGATGAATTTATGGATATATTCGGTACGAGACGTTCCGGTAAAAATGAAGTCGCTCGCAAAGACAATGAAGTTTTACCTGAAAAAAGCCATTTCAAAACACGTAGAACGGACTTAGAAATAAACGCAAAATCAAATGAATTTTTGGATCAAATGGCAATTTATGGTAAAAAAGAAATCACATATCTAGCGAAACATTTACAAAAGATATTTAACGTAAAAGACGATTTTGTAACTATATTAAGTGATAAAGTAAAAGATTATGAACGAAAACTCAAAAAATATATACCTGCCGCTATTAAATACGACGCAAAATGTGATATCGACAAAGAAAATATATATTTAGACATAGCTGCTTACTCAAACATGGTTTTGCATAACACTGAAAAAGAAATGTTGAGTTTGGCATTAAATAATACAAAAGGCAACTCAACAGATGTGCAGAAAGTTAACGAATTCATTTGTAAAACACGAATTGATCATATGAAGCGCGTTCTAGATTTTTTATGTGCGAAAATAAATATATGCAGACCTTATCCTGGTTTCAGCGAATATGTAGTTGATCTTATTGATGAGATAATTAAATCGAGTGACAGTAAACTTGCTGATTTGTTCAAATTAGCAACAGTAAAAGTTGAAGAAAGGGTCAATTTCTTCAAATCATTTATAAAACAAAATGTCCTCGATATGTTATCTTTAAAACTAAGATACATATCACAAGATTTGAATGCTATTAGAAAAACGTTAGCAATTGTTAAATCTATCATTAATTCTAGATATAAAATGATGAAAAGTGATGATGACGATTTAAAATTGCGAACCAAAGCTGTTCGTATATTACTTGATGTTATAGATAAAGCGTTCAATATACAGAGTGACGATCTAACCGTTATTACATTTGATACGACAGTGAAAGCTATAAGACATTGGCAAAATGGAAACAGGGGTGATATTGAAACGCCCATTAAACTTTTGTTTGATCATATTATAAGCGTTTTACGCGAAAATTGGGCACTTGCAACCAGACAGGAGGTAATGACCTTGACAGAAGTACTAACCTTTGGTTATTCATACGATGAAGGCTTCAATGATTTATTTGCACGGGGTTCTAGGTTCGTACGGGAAACTTAAAAACCACCAATGATGTGATTTCTCAATTTAAAAATAATTACAAATAAATAGAATGATAAAAATAATTATTTATGTATTCATCCAATTAACATAAAGTAGTTTAAGAGTTTTTAACCTTTGGGTACGGAACCCAAAGGTTGAAAACGGGATCATATTATTAGGTATCCGCTGTCCGTCCGTCTGTCACTGATAAACCGTAATAGTTTCACAGTTTCAATTTTCATAGATGTATTTTTGTTGCCGCTATAAAAGCAAATATTAAAAAAAAAGACGGAATAAAATAAATATTAAAGTTAAGCTCCCTAATTAATAATATTTATTTTATTCTGTTCCCATTTTTCGTACAACAAACGAGATATTCATGCGTTGTTTTTATAGATAATAATATGGAAACCTTCGTTGTCTTGCTCGCGCTCGTACTAAGGCCTATTATTATACTTATTGAACCCTCTAAAATGGTATACGTGACATGTTTGTCAAATGTCGACGGTATTCGATAAGTTAGCACTATTGCATTACAGGCGTCATATCTAGACCATAATGACCATAGAAAAGCAAAACATATGATATTTGGAAAATTATGCAATCACATTATTATTTATCCTAAAATTACTTACTACCTTTCCCAATCTGGGCGATTATAATCTAGAGGAGTCACCAACATTGTGAAAGGTTTTGATTTCGAATCCCATCTAGGGCACCTGAGACCGGGGAATTTTCTAAGTATTTTCTTAAACTTAATATGAGAACAATAACAGCTACAAACGTTTTACACAAATTAGTATTAGTTAGATATGCTTCTGTTAGCGAAATTTGTAAATTGTATGTGTATGAAAAGATGTAAAATGAAATTTCAATGAAATAGCATACTTTTGGTAACAATAGTAAGTTACAGTTTAAAGTGTATTTTTTTTCAGTACTTTTATTATTCGTTTAATAAGAGATCGCTTTAGGATTCTTTATATAAATAAATAACAATAAATAAATGATATATAATATCACATATAATGCTTAAGTCCCAAAATAAATAGAGAAAGCACTTGTACTTACTATGGGAATCTGAAACAGTGAGTGTGCCACGGAGCCTGGGGTTGAAACAGAAAAGAGGGGTTCATTTCCTGCATTGATCCGACTTGGAATCGAACACGGAGTCTTAGTAGATAGCCACGTCTTGAAACCGGCGTGTGAGCAGGATATATTTTGGGATAGATAATTTATATATAAATAGAAACAACTTGTCAATACTATTAATGTTATAGATATAAGAGACGGATGACATACGCCCTACACCTTTGTTACACAATATCTATTATATATTTTAGTAACTTTATGTACTTAACTGATAAGATGAGCACTACTACCGACAAATTACTCCGCAGTTTGACATATGTAACTCCTTGTAACAAAGTTATAATAGAAATAAATAAAAAAACACGTTTCTGATACAGAACTATTCTTAATGAAAAATGCTAAAAAAGTCCACTTTGTCCCTGGTACTCTGAGACGATATAACTTGTCCAACAGACTACGCAGTTTTTTAGAAACAATTTTGACTCAATCCAGCTAGAGTTTTAATTAATATCTATATTCAAACCGAGGTATTTGTAATATGAAACTTGTTTCAAATTCTCACATTTACAATTGTCAGTGCTAAAATAAACAAGGTTTAGCGTCAGAGTAAATTTACGCTAAAATTGCAATTTAATTATTGGTCCAAATTCATATTATACGGAGAATAAGAAAAACCACTTTATAAGAGCAAATATTACTCCCGTAGACGTACTAGGTTAACCTTTGCCAAGTCTCTTTTTAATAATATGAATTTTGACTAATACTAAGTGTGTCTTAGCCTAAATTTACTCTATTGCGATGCTATTATCATACATTTAGTTTTTTAATATATTTACAATAATGCCATTATCATGCGCCCATTTAATGCTATTGTCCAGATCTTTTTGCATTGCCTCTTGTATATTATGTGGATTTTTATGACTGTACATTGTAATAAAGTATAACACTTGTTTGTGAAACAATCAAGTTTTAATACCAGCACCATAATAAGGCTCCCAATAGACAACTAAAGGTTTCGATTTGTGGCTTCCGTGTATAATTTACAAGCACAGTTAGCAAAATAAACTTTCTTAACTGCAGGATATAATCTAGAGCGGAAACATCATGCGGATTATTCCAGTAGTCTTTATCCTAACCACGTCCTTGCATAGGCTATAATAAATCTTAGTTAATTACATAACTGGATTTAGTAATCAAAGTAGATATATCTATCCCATAATTAAGTTATGATATAACTGTATATATATACGAAAATTTCTTTTTAAATTACCTATAGGTTTTATTAGAAGTAAAACTGTGTAGAGAAAATAATGAAAATTTCTTTGTGGTGTTTACATACTCAATTTAAGTTATTACTAAGCTAGTATGTTGATTGTTGATACAGTGTTAGGAATAGAATTAATGTTATTATGGTAAGTAACAATATCCGAACCAGTTGGCTATTTTATATGCATTACTAATTCTATCACCTCTTCAATTGTGTGATCATATTTACTTGGTTGAATAGTTGCAAAAGCGTTCAAAGTTCGAAGATTTTCTATCGCTTAGAATACAGTTTTGTATTATTAGCTACAACAGTAATTTCGTGAGCCAAAATAAAAAAATATACGCTAGTCTTTTGAATGTTTCCTTACGAAGTTGTGAGCTTATTCTAAGTTTCGTTCAAAAACAATTTCGTATAAAGTGCTACTAGCCTAAGTTCTCATTTGATTACAGAATTTGATTGAACTCGAATAGAACTATAAAACTGATAACTTTTCTTCTGACTGTTGCCAATTGAAGTCTTAAACGGATAAATGTCGACGATTGTTTGGTGAAGCCGTATAACATGAACTGAAGTATTGCGACAGGCAGATACAAATAAATCCAACAATCGGTGAACGGCCTACTAACATGAATGACCTTCGAAGGATTTCATACGGCACTGAATACCTGGTAACCATTGCTGCAACAATAGGATCTAATCTTCTCAAATGGGAACACTAATTTAAAAGGTTTTTCATTGAAAGTAATGTTATTTGTTCCTTAGTTGGGGCCTGGTTTATCGAGTAGAAAAAATAGGTGAGCAAAGAAAATGTCATCTTTAGAACTAAATAAATGCCAAAGTTTGTCAGGATGTATGTTTGGTACTTTCTTACGGAAAATTTAAGGAACGAATTTTAATGAAATCTAGTTTATATATGTTTCTAAGCCCGACTCAACATAAAGACTACTTTTATCCCATTATATAAAATTTTTAAAACCCGTCACCTGACGAACTATGATGTTTTTGGGTCTCTTCTCTATGAGTTCATTCAGTGAAGGAAGTCCCCAAGTCAAGTCCAGTATTAGATATAATAAAACCCTACAGTGTACCCTCATAGGGGGCAGTGACTATTATAGAGTATGTCAACTGACAATTTCATTTCTACTCACAGATAATTAATACATAGTTTTGATAGTACATAGTAATAGTTGCATTACTTCCTAGATGTCAATTAAATGAATATTTACATTGAGTTTAAAGCAAAGACATCAAAATTAAATTACCTGCAAAGGAACGGGCTCTGCGAGCTGACTCATACATTGCGCTTGTTTTATCTTTTTGCATTCCTCAAGAGTTGAAGTTCGTGTGTATAATATGAATGTCACAAAAAACCGGTTGTTAAATTAAATTAACTGCTTGCTCAGTAAATACGGAAAGTTCAAGGTACCTTCACACTATTTTTAGTTTGTTGTAAAGATGGAAGAAAAGCAAAAGTTATGATTGGGAATATGACGAATGTGGTTTGTATAAAATCAGTTCAAACTCAGTATTCGCGGTCTATTAACTAGTCTTATTGATATTATCAATGCGAAATCGATTTATATGAAATTCGGTACGGAAATAGTATGAGACCTTGTGAATGATATATGGTTAATACAGATTACAGATATGCTTAATTATTATGTTCAGAAGCTAAAATTACGATGGGCTGGACACGTAGCCAGGCTCAAGGATAGTCGCTGGACAAAATCGACAACGTCATGGCTAGGACTATCGGTCCAAAGGAAAAGAGGTAGGCGAAATACGAGCTGGATAGACGGTGTAATAAAAATAGCAGGCACACACTGGATGCGAGAAGCTGAAGACAGGGAAAGGTCAATGACACAAAGGGATCTTATTCTTAGTCTTATTCTTAGGAGGGACGTTAATAAGCTGATATATTAACGTCCCTCCTGCTAGGGCACAGGTTTTCCCTGGGGTAGAGTCAGGGAGGGCGGACCATAGTCCACCATGCCGGCCCAGTGTGTATCGTTGGGTATTAACGACTGCAGATGCAGCCAAACGTATCATCCGAAGCACGAAGGAGCTCTAGATGTGCCGAGTTCGATGCTTAGGCAAATGAATAAAAGGCTGACTAAGCTTGAAAAATTGGATTTATTTGAGGGTTAAAGGAAAAACTGTAGCAAATAAAAAATGAATATAAAAGCAGTTCGTATTATTATTAAAATAATACAATTAATATAGTTAAATAGAACAAATACACACCCCGTTTCTGGGTTTTCCGTAATAGATAAAACCTGGTAGATATTTCACGAAGATATATTTTTAGATATACATTTTCTTATTTAAATTATAATAACTTTATTATTATTAGATTTGTATATATATATATATATAAAAATTCATATGATTCAAATATAAATTCATGTGAACTGACATTCATAAAGAGCATATTGGATTAGTCAAAATTTCAAATTACTTAAGGTGAATAATAAAAACAAATGATGTTAAAATCAAAGACAAAAAGTTTTCATGCGGATATCTGAGACGAGAAAAACGGTCGCTGGTACGACGCACCGTTACATAGATAATAAATTATTGGTCACCCATCCTGTGACTGGCCTTTGAAATGTTGCTTATCTTCCGCATTGCAGATTGAACGTGCTGACAACTACGCCATCGA